AAGCAGCTGGGATTTGAAACTAAATAGAATTATTCTATTTAGTTTCAAATCCCAGCTGCTTAAGTACTTTTCTCTGAATAATGATCGTTGATAAAGTCTCTTTATGTTCTTAGTGTAGTCTACTTGTGTGCCAAGTTATACTGAAATCAGACCAAAACTGTAGGAGGAGTAGCATTTTGAAACAATTTTACAGACATTTCTATTTTTAGTAACCACGGCAACACCGTTCATCAAAATAAAAATTCGATACAAAGAATTATGTATCTTAGTGTATTCTACTTGTGTGCCAAGTTATACTGAAATCAAACCATTACTGTAGGAGGAGTAGTATTTTGAAACAATTTTACAGATATTTCTATTTTTAGTAACCATGGCAGCACCGTTCATCGAAATTAAAAACAAATGCAGAATTATATGCATCTTAGTGTATTCTACTTGTTTGCCAAGTAATACTGAAATCAGACAAAAACTGTAGGAGGAGTAGCATTTTGAAAGAATTTCACAGAAATTTCTATTTTTAGTAACCACGGCAACACCGTTCATCGAAATCAAAAACCGATACACAGAATTATGTATCTTAGTGTAGTCTACTTGTGTGCCAAGTTATACTGAAATCAGACCAAAACTGTAGGAGGAGTAGCGTTTTGAAAGAATTTCACAGAAATTTCTATTTTTAGTAACCACGGCAACACCGTTCATCGAAATCAAAAACCGATACACAGAATTATGTATCTTAGTGTAGTCTACTTGTGTGCCAAGTTATATTGAAATTAGACCAAAACTGTAGGAGGAGTAGCATTTTGAAAAATTGTTTACAGACAGACGGACAGACAGACGGACAGACGGACGGACGCCGGACGCATTACTATCGCATAAGCTCTTCTGGTCTCTGACCAGTAGAGCTAAAAATTAGGATCTTCATCATCTATCTCTATCTAGAAAGGTGGAGTTATTTTAAAAGAGCTTTGATCTGTAACCAGGTAAATAGCTCACTCAAAATAGAGCAATATTTGAAAATTTGCTGGAACTCAACCACCCTGAAATTGACCCACCCATCCACATATGCACCCTTCAGGGGATAGGAAGTCCCCAACTGTTCAGACTGACTCAGACTCACATTAAATGTTGGTTTCATTCAACATTATTTACCTATAAGTGTATTTTGATCACCAAGTGCTTTTCCAACCAGATATTCTTCAGTCTTTGTAGCATGTACCTTTAACATATGTATATATCATTATAAAAGTTAGCAAATAGCTCATTTATAAAACATAATTATTTACTTGTAATTTGAAGCATTGTTCCCAACATACACATAGGACTCTATAATAAAGTATGTATATCTAAACTTACAAAGCTTTTGCTGATCCCCCCAAATACAATGGTAGGTTGACTTTTAACCCTGAAATTCTGGGTTACATCAATATCAAAGTTCATCCCAGCATTGACATCAGAATGGGCACTCTGTCAAAATAATGCATCATACATTCTCTGTTTCTTTTAGTGCTTACATGAATACCAATTTGAATCGTGGATATTAGGCTACATAAATTTAATTCTCTGGTTCTCAGGCCAATATTCTCCAACACAGATTTCTGGATTGGCCTCCTCATTTCCAACTTTTTATTTTATACAAAATACGATAAAATTTAAAAAGTGGGTACCTCATTTCCAACTTTTTCTTTTGTAAAAGATACGATAAAATTTGAAATGTGGCTACCTCATTTCCAACTTTTTAAAAGGGATCTAACTCTGACCTGTGTGCGTTTGTTGACTTTATAAACCCTTATGTGGTGGCTGTCAGGGACGGCATTCAGGAACATGGCCACTATAACACTGTCTGTCATGTCCTGACTTAAGAACTCAGAGACTGGAATCACCCTTGTTTCACCATTCAGAACTGAAATTAGAAAAAGGCACCATCTTAAATACGCTAAACTTTTCAAGCAAATTGGAAAATGGTTAGAGAATCCTTGTCAACCCCCCCCCCCCCCCCCACCCCCACTTCCTGAAGAACAAGATGTGTTTGTGAAACACTATGCGCCCGGCGAAAGTTCAAAAAAATTATTTTTAGCATATTGGTCACAGTCAAGGTCACAAGGTCATTGACCTTGAGGTCATTCGAAAGAACTTAATGGGTGGAGTATGCACACCAAATATGAAGTCCCTATCTCCTATTGTTCAAAAGTTATGGCAAAAAGTGTAAAAAGCTATTTTAAGCATATAGGTCACAGACAAAGTCACAAGATCATTGACCTTGTCGACTTTTGAAAGGACTTTATTAGTGGAGTAAGTATACCAAATATGAAGTCCCTATCTCCTATGGTTCAAAAGTTATGACAAACAGTGGAAAAAGCTATTTTTAGCATATAGGTCACAGTCAAAGTCACAAGGTCATTGACCTTGAGGTCATTCGAAAGAACTTAATGGGTGGAGTATGCACACCAAATATGAAGTCCCTATCACCTATTGTTCAAAAGTTATGGCAAAAAGTGTAAAAAGCTATTTTTAGCATATAGGTCACAGTCAAGGTCACAAGATCATTGACCTTGTCGACGTTTGAAAGGACTTTATTAGTGGAGTTAGTATACCAAATATGAAGTCCCTATCTCCTATGGTTCAAAAGTTATGACAAACAGTGGAAAAAGCTATTTTTAGCATATAGGTCACAGTCAAGGTCACAAGGTCATTGACCTTGATGTCATTTGAAAGGACTTTATTAGTGAAGTATGCATACCAAATATGAAGTCTCTATCTCTTATGGTTCAAAAGTTATGGCAAAGGTTAAAGTTGACAACAGACAGAAAGACAAACAGACAAACAGACAGGACAAAAACATTATACGCCCGGGATCTATCGATCCGGGCACATAAAAATGAGGAATAATAATCCGGTTCTGTCCATTCATTCATCAATATATCTGTCATTCTGTCTTTGAGTAACATTTTTGTTTCTATATGATATTTCAAGAAGCCTTTTTTTATTTTTCCTCAACCAGGAAACAAAAACATAGGTAATCAGAGATTACAGAGCTCACCTCAACGAATGTTGTCTTTAAGTAAGGCAAAGTCACACAATTAACCAACAAAAAGTGTACAAAAATGAAAATATTCATGCAATTTTGATCTGAAATAGAACTATATAAAAAATTCAAACTAGTTCTTCTTCATGAAAATGTAATTAAAATCCAGCATCTGAAGCAAATTTGAGAGTTTTCATCCCTTGATGCATCATTTGTGCAAGTTTGGTTTATACAATGTTATATAAGCTTTAAAGCATTTTGGTAATTGACCTGCACCCATAACTTTTACCTGGTCCATTATCTGAAAAATGTATGTTGAATTCAACATCCGAAGCAAGTCCATTATGTGCATCCTAAGATGTATCGTCCATGCAAGTCTGGTCATTAAAGAACTCATAGTTACTTGGAAATGAATCATGCACCAAAAACTTTAACCTGTTCACTCAACCAGAAAATGTAGGTCAGATTCAGCATCTGAAGCAAGCCTAGTAGGATGCATCCTTAGACGTATCATCCATGCAAGTTAAGTCATCATAGGGCTCATAGTATATTAGAAATGAGACCTGCACCAAAAACTGTAACCTGTTTACTCAACCCGAAAACGTAGGTCAGATTCAGCATCCGAAGCAAGCCTGGTAGTATGCATCCTTAGATGTATCATCCATGCAAGTTTGGTCAAATTAGGGCTTATAGTTACTTGGAAATGAAACCTGCACCAAAAACTTTAACCTGTTCACTCAACCGGAAAATGTAGGTCAGATTCAGCATCCGAAACAAGCCTGGTAGTATGCATCCTTAGATGTATCATCCATGCAAGTTTGGTCAACATAGGGTTTATAGTTCCTTGGAAATGAGACCTACACCAAAAAGTGCACCAAAAATGTTAACCTGCTCCAAAAACATTAACCTGGTCATTCCTCTGCTGAAATTGCAGCATCTGAAACTTTGACTGGTACAATGAAACACACTAGAAGGATCTTCCATGCATGTCTATTCAATATAGGACACAGAAGTATTTAAAAAGAAAACTGCTCCAAAAAACTTAACCTGGGACGCCGACACCGACACCGACGCAGACGCCGACGCCGACACCGAGGGTATTACATAAGCTCCCCCAACTTCGTTGAGGTGAGCTAAAAATCCCTGAAAAGGCATGTTTGTTTTACTTCAGACTTGTAATATCTTCATAGTTGATAATAAAGTAGTATTTCATTTATGAAATGTGACCTAGACCAAATATAAAGTCTCTGGTTCTTTTCAAAAGCTACCTCCAGGTTAACACTGACTCTAGCAAAATGATACAAGACAGACCAAAAACTCTCTATAAGATCTCTGAAAGCGAAGAAATGATTTAAGGAATCACTGTCTAGTTTTGAGAGTATGCCAGGGCATCAACAATAGTGGGAAACATGGGATAATTTGCATAACGGGCAAAGCCCGTTATGCTAAAATTATCCCATGTTTCCCACTATTGTTGATGTCCCTGGCATACTCTCAAAACTAGACAGTGATTCATTATATTTCCATTTCATTGTGAAAAAAAATTGTAGACTTAGACATTAAGAATGTAGACTAATCAATTTAAATTAAACGAGGACTTCCACTCCAATTTCAATAGTCCCCGCACACTGACGTCAAACACAAAGGCAGCCGCACGAGATTTACATGCATATTTGGCCTCCTTAGCATCAGACACAGAGACAGATGCGCACGAGATTTGCATGCGTATTAGGCCTCCTTAGCTGCTGACCTATCGACCTGCCTAATTTACATTCCGGCAGAATTATCAATAAATCAACTCCGCTTACTTTCAAAGGGTTATTATAGAGAAAACTAGAACTGTCCAAACGGGACAAAATACCCCCCGCTGGGTTTTTCAGAAGTAAGTTTTTCCATAATAAAGATATGTATCAGACACAAATTATGAAATTTTTCTTCCAGTGACCTTGAGCTTCCCAAAATGACCTTGGGTCAAGGTCATGACACACCCTTGGGTCATGGGCAATCTCTGAGTGAAATGAGAACCTACCAAGTTTATCCATAAGAAAGATATGGACCGGACACGAATTATGAAATTTTTCTTCAAGTGACTTTGAACTTCCCAAAATGACCTTGGGTCAAGGTCATGACACACCCTTCGGTCATGGGCAATCTTTGTGTGAAATGAGAACCTACTAAGTTTATCCATAAGAAAGATATGGACCGGACACAAATTATGAAATTTTTCTTCCAGTGACCTTGAACTTCCCCAAATGACCTTGGGTCAAGGTCATGACACATCTATGCATCATGGGCAATCTTTGTGTGAAATAAGAACCTACCAAGTTTATCCATAAGAAAGATATGGACCGGACACGAATTATGAAATTTTTCTTCCAGTGACCTTGAACTTCCCCAAATGACCTTGGGTCAAGGTCATGACACACTCTTGGGTCATGGGCAATCTTTGTGTGAAATGAGAACCTACCAAGTTTATCCATAAAAGATATGTCCCAAACATGAATTTTGAAATTTTTCTTCCGGTGACCTTGAACTTCACCAAATGACCTTGGGTCAAGGTCATGACACACCCTTGGGTCGTGGGCAATCTTTGTGTGAAATGAGAACCTACCAAGTTTATCCATAAAAAAGATATGGACCGGACACGAATTATGAAATTTTTCTTCCAGTGACCTTGAACTTCCCCAAATGACCTTGGGTCAAGGTCATGACACACCCTTAGGTCATGGGCAATCTTAGTGTGGAGTAGTAGATTCTAATGTCCCTCTGTAGGAAAGATATGGACCGGACACGATTGCACAGACAGACGGACAGATGGACAGACGGACAGACAGACAGACGGACAGACGGACAGACAGACAGACGGACAAGGTGATTCCTATATACCCCCCCAAACTTCGTTTGCGGGGGGTATAAAAATTAGAAATGGAAATATTTGTGAAAAGGAGAAAATGTATGTTACCAATATTGAGCTGGGCTCTGACAGCTTCTAGCATGGTGTATATATCTGACTGAAATTCTGGATGTTTGTGTTTCAACATCAAGTTTCCTGCCCAAGTTCCAAGCTAATAATTAAAATGCAAACATGATAAATTCCTATTAGTATAATAGATAGATACATGTATATATATATAGACTATGGCTTTAATTTGAAAAATTCTCAATAATAAACTTAATTTACAGGCCTTTTACTGTACAGTAAACCAGCTATTGTTCTCAACAACTTTTATTCATGACCTGTCAGTATGAAAACTATCTTTGATGACTAACTTTTGCAACTGAGGAGTTGAAATAGATAGTATTTATTTCATGATTAAAAGAGGGAAACAAAACTTGTGGAAACTTCTAGCAAGATAATTATTTTGGTCTACAGTATTTCAAGTTCATCACAGAAATTTATCTCAACATACAAAAACTTACATTTCTAACAGATGAGGTGGCCACTTTTGATATAATCTTACACATCTCTTTGAAATATCCAAACTGTGGTTCATTTGACCCTCGATATAATACGTCATACAGCTGACTCAGGGACAAGCCAGAGCCCAGAACTATGGTAGGATCAAACTAAAATAAACAAAAACATGTCAAAATGAACAGCTGGTTGTCTTCTGGTCCTCATTTCAGATCTTTCCAAGCAATTGTCTGAGCATTTTAAGAATATTTACAGGAATTATTTTTCTGCTTATGTAATTTATCAGAAATGAATTTCAATGACGCTGATTCCCTTTATACTCACGTCAATTCCATACAACTCAGTCACCCCTCGAAGGTCAATAAGTACGTCAAAATTCTTCGGATCTAATTCCTTGTACACTCCTATTTGCAAAGAGAAGGATGAGTGCACTTAAGCTATGAGAGTTGGGTCCCGGTGTTTTGGGCAAAATAAAATCCCGAATTTCATTAATTTATGTTTTAAAGGTTTTAAACAATGTCTTAAGAGCAGGTTTTGGTATATTATATTACTTGAAAGTACTAAATTATGCCGAGTGACACTAGCTTTTGGGACGGGGGTCTAACAGTTTTGTCACATTTCTATTGTTCTTCATATGCATACAAGTTTTCGGCGACATTGTTTGTCTCATTTGCACAGAATGTGTATTTTAATTTAAACTTATACATATCAAAAGGACAATGTTGGCCAAGTTGTGGCTCATATCTAATTTTTTTAAACAAGAGGCCCACGGGCCTTATAGGTCACCTGAGTATCATGCAACAACTTTCCAGTGATTGTATTTGGTTCGTGTTTTAATCCAAAAGCCATGAAATTCACAAATTTGTAAAGAGGCACCATTGCTTATCAAAGGGCAGATTTCAAAGCATTAATTTATTTTTAGTCAAAGTACCCCCCTGGTACCCCTGACCCAGCAGCCCTGAAATTATCTATTTTGAAAGAGGCCCCTTTCTTCATTACAAGGCCAGCATTTTTTTTATGTTTAGGTTTAGTTATGAACATGAGAATAAAAATGTCCCGAATGAGAAGAAAATAATTTTTTTTTTTTTTTTTTGATAAATCAATTATTAACATTTGTACATTCTTTTTTTATGCCATTCTAATAGGCTCCTTACCACTGGACACATAATGCTTACAAATACGAAAGTAGAACATTGCTTATTTCATCATCTGCCAGTTTGGGCCAGTTATATAAATTTTGTGATGTTGGTCAATATGTATGTAAAAAAAATCAATTCTTTAAATGTCTTTCAATATATCTTCATTTTTTTGATATGTGTTCGGTGAATGTGTAGGCATTGTTCTAAAATTTACTTGATGCCTAAAATTATATAATTCCTATCATAAAACAGACAGGGAGTATTAGAGAGTAGGGTGAACATTTTTTCAATTAAGTGTAAATTTTTTTACTGGCTGATACAAATGATACTTCATGCCTGTATATATTTGTATATTTTTGCCTTTTAATAGTTGAATTTTTTCTTTATTTCTTCAGGTTATTGTTTATTTCTTCCTCAAATGGACTAAACTTCTCCCATAGTTTTATTCATTACATCTGATGCATAAGCAACCCTTTTCTGAAGAATGATGCTTAGACTGTAAGCTATAACAGAGATCTAAACAATGTCGCTGACAATATGCAATAGCTACCACTGGCAGTTTAAAACCTGGGGGAGGAAAATAATTTACAGACAGATACTTTTGAAACTAACACATAATTATCTCACCAGCATGTCATTGTGCAACAAAGTCGTCAGCATTTTATTTGTCCTTTGAACGGGTGAAACGTTTTGAATGGCACTCGAATCGATGAATTTTACACTAAACCAAGCTATCTTCTCAGATAGATCTAGCATTATTTACCCGCCGTTTCATCTTAAAACCGGAAGTGCGACTTTGTAAATTTGAAATCTCGATCCCGACTCAAATTTGACATCGGAAAGAAAAAATTGTTTTATTTTTTCTGAAAATTCTAAACCTTGAGCGGAGGGTTTATAAAACTGAAAATAAAATAAATCCTGGCCTTAAATATGTAATTAGATCATTAGCATATTAACCAGGAGCAAAGGATAAGATGTTCAAAGAATTCATGCATTTCACTATATAACCATTAGAGCCCCACCCTAAAACAAGAACCCTTGACCCTGGGGCCATAAAATTCATAATTTTGGTAGAGGCAATCTTGCTCATCATAACTATGTACTTAGTTAGTTTATTTAATACCCAGGAGCAGAGAAGAAGATTTTCAAAGAAATAATGTATTTTCACTATATAATCAATAGAGCCCCGCCCTAACACCAGACCCCTTGACCCTGGGGCCATAAAATTCACAATTATGGTAGAGGCACTCTTGCTCATCATAACTATGTACTTAGTTGGTTTATTTAATACCCAGGAGCAGAGAAGAAGATTTTCAAAGAAATAATGCATTTTCACTACCTACTTATTTTGCCCCGCCCTAGCACTAGAACCCCTGACCCAAGGGCCATGAATTTCACAATTTTGGTAGAGGACTCATTGCTGATTACAATCATGCAAACAGATTGACTGCTTGATGTCCAGGAGTAAAGAAGAAGATTTTTAAAGATTGCATTAATTTGAGTGGTTTTGGCCCCACCCCTCAGGCCCCAGGGGGGCAGGGATCATGAAATTCACAATTTTTGTTCCCCTTCACCCATACATGCTTTGTGCCAAATATGGTTAAAATTGGTTCAGTGGTTTCAGAGAAGAAGCTGAAAATGTTCAAATGTTAACACACGACGCACGACGCACGACGGACGACGCACGACGACGGACGAAAACAGATAGCAATAGGTCACCTGAGTTTACTCAGGTGACCTAAAAAGTCTCCAAACTACCATCAAGTTAGCCACTAAATTAGCAGGTTCCCGAATGTCAACGACTGATATTATAATCACTTTACTCTCGTGACATTCCATGGTTCGATACACAAACACTGTCATTGAACATTTCATTGTATTTGTCATTTGAAGTTTCTATTCGGACAGTATCTATCGCACTTCCAGATTGTGCGCAAAGATTTTTGCGCATATTTTGATAAGATTTGAAGATTATATGTCTCTTATTTTACTGTGTATTTTTCGTCAGGAGTGTTTTGAAAGAATTCTGTTATTGGTAGTGAGATTAGTAAATAAAGGCTCATGTTGCCTCTGTATTATGGTCTGCAGGGCGATACATCCACCCCATCCCTAAACACTAGAATAATTTATTAATTGTGCACAATTTCTTTCTTAACCATTTAAAATTTGTAGTGTAGCATCTGATTGTGAAAAAGTCATAATTATGTGCTATTGTTTACATTCCACATCTATGCGATTTAAATGTCTCTGCCTATTTGCGGGTATCTTAAATTCGATAGTGGTCCCGTTCAAATTTCCGGAATATAAGGCTTATACATGTTCTTTTCAATGGCATTGTCTGTAATTATAGAAATGTGTATGACAAAAAACTCAAGGCATAAATATCAAAAGCATATATGCTTGCACAATAATCCAATTTAATTAAAATTAGATCCTTTACGCTCCTTTATTTTGTTATGTTGCTTACAGCGACATAACAAAATAAAGGAGCGTAAAGGATCTAATTTTAATTAGATTGCACAATAATCATAGATTAATTTAGCGATATATTATAATGCAAAGATTAAAATGGGTAGCCGAAAAGGTTCCAAATGACGTACTAAAGTGCACTCATTCTTTCAAAAGTAAATATTTTGAGAAAATAATTATTAATATTCACATGCAATTATACAGGGTTGTCCTCAAATCCCCGAAGGCCAGAATATTTCAATACGTACTTAGTACACGTATAAAGACGTTACCTCCCATTTATTCTGGTATTGCTCCCTTAACCCCCGTAAGGAAAGGTACACCATATGTCTTTATACATTTTTAATGTTTTTTTCTTTTTAATTCTTATTGACAACCCTGAATTACAGTTTATAACATTTGCATGGATAGTACAGTTGACAGTGGCAAAGATTTATCATAGTAATGGCCGGAAAAAAGTTATACATGTATCTCAAAGCAATTCCATGCCTTTGTCTATGACCTTACATGAAGCTTATCTAAAGGTCAAAGAAACCTTTGAGTCAATATATAACTTACAAAGTTATGATCATGGCAAGACTTTTAATCTTTGAAAAATCTTGACCAAATGAATGGTTCAGGGCTTCTCACACTTTCAGGTCATAGACATCCTTTGTATCAAATATGAGTCTCTACAGTGTTTGTATAGAACTGGAAGAATTTTTAAAACACTTTTGTTTCTGTGATCTTGACCTTGTTCAAATGACATTGACTTGAGTTTCAGACAAATTTCAGCTGACAAGTAATCATTGTGGTTAATGTAAGCTTTTGTTATCCCTGCCTTAGAAAGATAAGCAAGAGGACAAAACAAGGAATTATTTTGCACTTGAAGTCCATGTGACCCCTACCTTCATTCTAGTCCAGAAAACCTTTGCCTAGAATCAAAATATTTTCTCAGTCAAAAGCAACCTTTGAGCATATCTTTTATAAATACCACTGTAATTTCCAGACTCCAAGTTGGAGATTCAGACAAAATTAGAAAGACTTCCATAATAACAAAACCTGGCCAATACCTGTTTTTTTTTTAATATACAATTACGTCTTACCAAAACCTGTGTTTCCAAACACCAGCCTGTAGTTTTTGCCCTTGTTGTCCTTTATCATTTTGATGAGATCTGGTACAGTGGAAGGCTTGAACCACTGGGCATCTTTTAAGGCTAGCTGTGAGCTCTGTTTGTGACAACTTCCTGTACAGGTCTGACCGGTCCGATCACAGCGTTTTGTGTGTACATCCTGTTATTTTACCAGATTAATTTTATTTGTACATTAAAAGAAAATTCATACATTCAGTCAGGGATTAGTAGCCCTTACATTCTAATGGAGAAGTTGGAATTGTGACATGGTCATTCTAAGTTAAGTTGAAGTTATGAAAATTTGAAATAATCATGTTTCATGAAAAAATTAAAAAAACTAAAACATGCATGTTTTCACAAATTAAGTTCAAATTTATCCTGCCAGTAACCTTGAACTTGCCTAAGTAACATTGGCAAAGTCATACCTCACCCTGACAAGGAACCTCTTTTTATGAGTTTTTAACTGCAAATAATGGATCAGACATGAATACATTTTTGAACAGTGACCGTGAAATTGCCCAAATACCTCTATATCAGGAACATCTTCTGCAAATGACTTCATAGCATCCAAAATAGGCCTGAAACCTTAAAAAAAAAATATTCCATGTAATTCTGAAATTTACCATTTAATATTCACTGAACTATTATCCAATTACATTATTTTCATTTTGCAGGTTATGACTGCAGTTTTGAAACCAGAATTCTCTGTCGAGACTGTAGCTCTACTGGTTTGTACTTTAAATAAAGGAAAAGAAAAGTGGCATCATGTATCTCAGTGTACACTACTTGCATGCCACATTATACTATAATCAGACTAAAACTGTATTTAGAATTGCATTTTTAAAGTTTTTCACAGAAATTTCTATTTTTAGTAACCAAGGCAACATCGTTTATCAAATTAAAAAATACCGATACATGGAATTATGTACATGTATCTTAGTGTAATCTACTTGTGTGCAAAGTTATATTGAAATCAGAACAAAACTGTAGGAGTAGTAGCATTTTTAAAGTATTTCACAGAAATTTCTATTTTTAGTAACCATGGCAACACCGTTTATCGAAATCTAAAACTGATAAACAGAATTATGTATCTTAGTGTAGTCTACTTGTGTGCCAAGTTATACTGAAATCAGACCAAAACTGTAGGAGGAGTAGCATTTTGAAAAATTGTTTACATACAGACAGACAGCTAGACGGACGAACGATGTACACATTACTATCGCATGAGCTCTTGTCTCTGACCAGTAGAGCTAAAAATATAATGAATATGAAGATGTAAATTGAACATTCAAATATATTCTTACCAGTACATCGACATATAACAGAATCTGAGGCATCTTCAACCATCTGCTTTGTGACTGCTCCACCGTGGTAATCAAGAAGTCTGAAGTGATAAAATGTTCACACAGTTAACAATGACAATGCAAGTCCCATACTGTGGAATCCTTAGATTTCGTGGTGGATCATTATTCATGGAATTTTTTAATACTTTTCTTCACAAATTTACATCCTCCACAAACAGTATAACAGAGTTTCCTTTCATAGACTGAGTGAATATAGGAAATTAGGTCCCCAAGAACCTGTAAATTTTCCACCAAAATTGGACCCCACAAATTCTAATGAATCCTTAAAATGAAGAGAACTTTTAGTGCTTTAATTTGGACCCTAGATACATAAATAATATGTCTTGAGACTTGTCCAAATTTATCTTTTTACAATTATAATTCATTAGTTAACTTCAAATTCACTGTTTCAAAAAGGACTTACGCGTGAATATTCATGACTTGTCCGGGGCTACAGAAGCCACACTGACTGCCATTATACTGGGCGAGGCGTTTAGGGACCGCCTGAACACTGGTGGAATCCACGCCCTCAATAGTGGTCACCTCCCACCCGTCACAGGAGAACAGCGGCACCAGGCACTAAAGAGAAAAGACACAGAATTCATTATGCACAAATCTGTAGTGACATTCCTGTATCAATGTAACTATATAATATATTGGCAATGTTAAAAAACTATATAAAAAGTTCTTGACAATATATTTGAAAGTTTGTAAAGATACACTTAGGTCTTGGACTGCAACACTGGTATGATTTTATTTTGAAATTTTATTATTTTATAAACATGATAAATACGTATATTTCAAGCAATTCTAACGTACTGAATTCACGGCGTAGGATTGTTTTTCCATCGTTATTGGTTCATACAATTTAGCTTGCACGAGACATGTCCCACACCCCCCTTCCTTGCACATATACTTGGTTCCTGTGGAAATTCTGGAATCTCTCAAGAAGGAATTCAATGTTGTGGACCCAGAGTACTCACTTCCAACTGTAAAAAAAAATTACATCAATTATCAATAACTAACATTTGAATGTCTTCTAAATCTCATATAATGTGCAATGGACATTATATCTATTTTTTGGTCACTGAAGTATTATGTACAAATATAATTACCCGAGTAAGATTTTCCGTTAACAGTAATTGTAATGCTGGACTCCACACTGTTGCTACACCTGAACTTGAAGAAATGTCCACAGGATTGACAGGTGCCCATAAAAATGCCATTTTTCAAGTTCTGTTTCTGTGGAATATGCCTGTAAACAATTTAAAAGATATCATATATTACTTTTTGGATACTAACAACTATAAACCATTTCATATTAGTTCCTTCTTACAAAATCATTTAGGTGACATGCCAGTTATATATCAAAAATATGGTAAGGAATGTACATTGTCAAAGTTAGGGGAGGGATGTTACAATGCACTTTGAAAAATTACGCACTTTGAAAAAATTTTTCTCTGTGTGTTAAATTTGGTACCAAATCAAAGCACTTTAAAAAATTACATTTCTTTTCAAAGTGCGTATGGTCGATATTCTCGCATACTAAGTATCGTATAATTAGGTGTGATAAATAACCTGTTGGATAACTTTTCGGTTATAAGGTCACTTCAGGATGTGAAAGTGAGCGATTTTGATTCTTCCATACTTTGAAAATTCTTTCTCTCTTAAATATTTTACTGTATTTCATTTTTCCCGTTTGCATTCATTTTATGTGAACTAAAATTTATTGATAGTTTTCAATGTCATTCCAGTTATGCAGATACATATATTAGGGTGTAGCACAGGCACTGTTACGGGGGGGGGGGGGGGGGGGGGGGGGGGGGGATAAGCACACTAATGTTTGGCAAAGATATACATAATACAGGCATTGAAAATTGAGGCTTACCTTTTTTTTGGGGAGGGGGTCCACATTTAATTTGCTACCGATGGCTATGTATAAGAAAAACTGAGTTGGGCTGAGAGACCTACTTGTCTTCTCCTTGTTCTAATTGAGGTTAAATCAGTCCAAGTAAATCAACAAATTTTTCGAAAGATATAATTATTCCAAATTCATTCTCTCAATTACTAAAATCTATGTCTAGAATTTTTGATTTATACATATTTTTTTCAAAGTGTGTTAAATTTCCCCATGGTAAGAAATGATGATGTACACTCTTAACGCACTTTAAAAAAAATTCAAAGTGTGTTGAGTGTTTCCTAAATTTAACGCACTTTGAAAAACATTTTCAAAGTGCGTTGATTTTGTCCCAATTTTAACACACTGTGAAGAAATTTTTCAAAGTGCGTTGCCACAGAGGGATAACAAAACAACCCTTGCTCACCACCTCCCGTTTCAGTCTAATTTATCACCTTTATCATGCTTTATCATAAATCTTTTCCATTTAATAACCACGTAAATGACGAAAGATATAATATAAGTGACTGGTCTACCACTCTGTACAATTTTATAGTATAGAGGGGGTAGACCTTTAAAATAAATTTTAAAATTAGAATACTAAGATACATACAATGCTGAACAAACTGGGCAGCTCAGCGAGTTCGCCTTCTTCTCCTCCATTTTACTTATCACATGATATGTTCGGAAGGAAGAGTTACCTGCCCTTGATTAAAAACAAAAAACAAGAGGCCCATGGGCCACATCGCTCACCTGAGAAGCTTTGGCCATTCTGTTCTTTACCAGATTTCCCCCTTGTAATACATATTGTGACCCCACCCTTCCCACTTATCATAATTTAAACAGTTTGAAATCTACACTACCCCAGTATGCTTCCAAATAAGTTGCAGCTTTGATTTTCAGATTTTTTCTATATATTTCTATGTAAAACATTGATTCCCCATTGTGGCCCCGCCCAACCCCCAGGGGTCATGATTTGAACAATTTAGAATCTACACTACCCCAGGATGCTTCCAAATAAGTTTCAGCTTCCCTGGCTCAGTGGTTCTTGAGAAGAAGATTTTCAAAGATTTTTCCTAGATATTTCAATGTAAAACTTTGATTCCCCATTGTGGCCCCGCCCTACCCCCGGGGGTCACGGTTTGAACAATTTAGAATATACACTACCCCTAGAATGCTTCCACATAACTTTCAGCTTTTCTGACCCAGTGGTTCTTGAGAAGAAGATTTTCAAAGATTTTTCCTATATATCTCTATGTAAAACACTGATTCCCCATTGTGGTCCCGTCCTACCCCCGGGGGTCATGATTTGAACAATTAAGAATCTACACTACCCCAGGATGCTTCCACATAAGTTTCAGCTTTTCTGGCTCAGTGGTTCTTGAGAAGAAGATTTTCAAAGATTTTCAAAGATTTTTCCTATATATTCCTATGTAAAACATCGATTCCCGATTGTGGCCCCGCCCTACCCCCGGGGGTCATGATTTGTACAATTTAGAATCTACACTACCCCAGGATGCTTCCACATAAGTTTCAGCTTTTCTGGCCCAGTGGTTCTTGAGAAGAAGATTTTCAAAGATTTTTCCTATATATTTCTATGTAAAACATTGATTCCCGATTGTGGCCCCGCCCTACCCCCGGGGGTCATGATTTGAACAATTTAGAATCTACACTACCCCAGGATGCTTCCACATAACTTTCAGCTTTTCTGGCCCAGTGGTTCTTGAGAAGAAGATTTTCAAAGATTTTTCCTATATATTTCTATGTAAAATATTGATTCCCAATTGTTGCCCCGCCCTACCCCCGGGGGTCATGATTTGAACAATTTAGAATCTACACTACCCCAGGATGCTTCCACATAAGTTTCAGCTTAGTTTCAGCTCAGATAAAACCACACATTGCGTCATCTAAACAGTTCCGGTATATATTTTTGTCTAGACTTCCTCAAAATTCAAATAAAAGTACCTCGCGGGTTTCATTTCTGATTGAAGAAAAACCCCATACCTTAATCCATCAACCACAGGAGTTCGCAATTTTATCAATCAAGTTAATAGAAATCATGCGCAAGCATCATATGAGCATAGCGAATGCTTACGCATACTACCAGTAGCTCATGACTTGGTCAACTGAGTGATTTCTACCGACTTGATTGATAAAATTGCGAACTCCTGTGCATCAACTGCCTTGAACTGTTTTTTTTTTATTAGAAAAAAATTGACTAGAAAATTTATTACCGGCCGCCAGGAGGCGGTCGGTATATGATATGAAAGTTTTAAGTCGCCGTGCGTTTCTGCGGAGTTAGAACAATTTGAATAAAAAATATTTAACATTCATGCAATAGAATATTAAGAAAGAGTGTCTAAATGTAAAATAAAAACGCATAATATCATAAAATTAAAATTTTATGAATAATGGGTTAAATGTTTCATCCAATCCTGATTGACAAACTCCGACGTAACTGAAGTGCGGAGAAATAAGCACACATGTTGGGCATAGTCTAAAGCAAGGACCGCGTTATATACATGTCTAAACAAAATTTATTTTCTCTACATCAACAGGATTTGTTGTATATATAATTCAAAATGAGGAGTAAATATAAATATACAATGTACTTTTAATACGGAAAATTTTCAAAAATATGACATAATCTTAATTTATTATCAGACAGAA